GGCCAGAGATGCGGAGGGTGAAAGGATTCACCAGAGACAGAGTGGGGAGCAGAACAGGCAGATCGACGAAGTACACTGCTGAGGGGAGTAGCGAGCGGGTCAGGAGAGGTCTGCTGCGCCACCAGGAAGGGCCCAACACATTATTTGTTTTTACCTTTGCTGTTAGGAATTTTTACCAAGTTGTATTTGCAAATTATGTAAAAAATTAATGGGGCCTCCCTTGTGGCACAAGGGTTAAGTGCAGCACTATGAAGCTGTCCACTGCCATGACAGCACAAATTTGATCCCTGGCCAGGGAGCTGACCCACATGGCACAGCAGACCTCTCCTGCCTCGCCTGCTGCTCCCCTCAGCAGTGTATTTCAGTCAATCAGCCTGTTCCACACTATTGTAGTATAAATACATAAATCGTTTTTATAAAAGGAATTAATATGCAGAAGGACTATGTACAGAAATCTGAATCACCTTTTAAGCTTCATGTTCACAGACCAGCACGAAAGTCTACTACATAACACCTCTAGATGTGACTCACAGATGCAAAAGTCTCAGCACACTGTTCTGAGCTAGAAAGGCATTTATTATGCTAATTCACAAAAGTTAGTGTTCAAGTGTGTTCCTGAAGAAAGGACTGACATGGACGCAGAGTCACAATCGGTGTGTTGTTTTATTCCTGCAAACTTTGTTCTCATATTTTCAAGCAGTAACACCACCCCATTGGTCTGATTTTCTACAAGAAAATATGGATTGTTCAAAATTACATCTTTTATTTTTACTAAATATGGTGGTCTTCTGTATGACCACCTTAGACTCAACAGCAGCTAACCTTTGGCCTCTCACAAAAATTAGCATACTGGAGGAAATTTTATTGTAATAAAGGCCACCGGGAAGACTGTGTCACCGGTGCTCTAGGCAGCCCTAAAAAGATAGCTTCAAGGTTGTTTTGGAGCACCATCAAATAAAGGAACAGCCTCCTAGGGTAACCACTTTTAAGGAAACAACTCTTTTGGAAACAGAAGTTACATCCTTCAGGTCTGGTATTGCAAAGTACCTGCCATTTCATAAAGCAGGGGTGGTGATAATTAGTCAATAAGATGGGTGGCTAGCTTAGAGAATAGCACACTTTGCTGGGTCTGGAACAAAGAAATAACTTAAGGGGAGGCTGGAAGGGAACAAGCAAGTTTTCCAAGAAGACAGTTCAAATCATCTTTGGGTGATGGCTTAGGAAAAGCAGCACTTGTGAGTAGCCTGCTCCTCTCTCAAGAGGCCTGGCATGTGCTAAAGGGCACAGATAACGTCCAGTGGTGTGGTTCCCTCCAATGTTCTGGTTCCCAATCTGTGCTCAGACTTCCTGGCCTATGATGGCTATAATGGAGAGTGCAAAATTCAGCTACATATTTCCCCTTCTGTATTCTCTAGTTCTTGTTCCTTCTCTAATACTACCAAATCTAACACTGAAAACCCAAGGGGAAAAGATGAAAGAAGGGTATTTTTGAATTCCTATAAATAAAATACAGCCTCATAATTGAACCTACATCCAAAGGGCATTGGTCATTTTGGCAAGATTTACTACTTAAAAAAAAAAATTAAGAAAGAAAGAAAACAATTCATGTGACTACCTTCTTGTTGACTCAGTATTTAAGATGGCTTGGAGAAGGAGAAACTAAGTAAATTAAAAGGAATCTGAAGTCAAATATAAAATGATAAATTGTACGTTATTTTACAATAAAAAGAAAATTCAAGGCAAGAAGACATCAATGTTGTTGTAATAGGTATCCAGTTAAAACCTGGACCCTGTGCATATTCCTGATATATTACTGAATTCTGTTAAGGACATCTGGCCATCAAGGAACAAGTTTTTGTTCAGCACATGTAAGGGTGAATATATTGAAAAGGAAAGCTAGATACAGGCTTGCATATTACAAAGACTTTCAAAGACAACAGAGAAAAGATCTAATTTTACCAAGACAGCACTTGGTATGTCAAAGAGGAACCCTCTTGTCAACTACTACTGCTTTTCAAGCTCTCTTGTGAATGGACTGGGACAGGTGGCGGTAGTGGTGGTAACTAGGTATTCAACGTGGCAGCAGTTAACTCTTACTGGATATGTCAGGTAGATATACTCAGAAGTATGCAAGGTATGTTTCTTATCTATAATCTTTACAACATTCCTAAAATGCTAGGATATGGATGCCAATTTCTGTGTATGGAGAAGCAGAAGGTAACTGGTGTTGGGTCATGTGCCCAAGGCATATAGTGAGTAGAAGTACTTGGACTTGAACTCTCTAGCAAAAGCTAACACTCATCTCAATGGTGCATTGTAGGACAGCCCAGGGAGCCATAACTGTGGCTAAGTTACCAGACCAGCATGAACAGATGTGGTTAGAACGGAGAGATGTGATGGTATATACAATCACTTTAGGAAAAGGTCCATTAGCATTCTTTATAACACTGTAAATAAATATCTACCTGGCGTCCCAGCAATTCTACTTCCAGGAATCATAAATGGTCACCTCATTTTACAAATATGACAATCAGTTCTGAAAGATACAGCAATATGTCCTGGTTATATGTCTAGGTGGGTACATCCTCCTGGAGCAGGGACATCCTCCAGGGAGAGGGGAGAGCAAGACATGCAGTACAATTAGTCAATCCTAAAAGAGAGATATTAGTCATAAAAAATACTAAAATTTAAATTGAAAGTCAGTAATTCACCAGAAATGTTTTTATTAGTTTTAATATATAATAGCTTATTTTTACATCATTTTATGCATTTTCCCATCTCAGTTGCAATCCCCTTGAGCTTCCCATCACCAAATCACCCAATTTTTTTATTTTTAAGGCGCCTTATCCACAGTTTGAAAAACATAACCTGTGAGGATTAAAAAGTATAAGACAGGGCCCTCCCTGTGGCGCAGTGGGTTAAAGCACAGCACAAAGAAGCTTAAACCACTCCCGCATGAGTTCGATCCCCGCCTGCCTCAGAGGTGATCCACATGGGGCGGCAGACCTCTCCTGACCCGCCGCTGCTCCCCTCAACAGTGTACTTCGTCAATCTGCCTTTTCTGTACCCCACTCTGTCTCTGGTGAATCCTCTCACCCTCCACATCTCTGACCTGTACCCCAGTTCTGTATGAATAAATGAATCTTTAAAAAAAAAAGTATAAGACAAAAATAAATTCTTCACTGTGTTTTAAGGTCAGTGGGGGGGGGGGTTGGGGGAGGAAAGCAAAGAGCCTAAATAAAATCTCTGCTTCAGCTTCTACCAAGATGGACAATAAATCACCACTCTGAAAATGATCCTAAGAGGAGCAGATTGTAGATGATGGACTGCAACATACCAACAGTATTTTACATCACATTGGCAACTTAGAGAAACAAGCACTCTCTGAGAACAGAAAGATGAAATGGAGAGGTATGGCTGATAAAAACAAGTGACAATGCAAACTCAAACTCAACTGTCAGTAATAAAATCTGTTTCTCTGGCTCAAAATTATCACTCTATAACATTCCTGGGAAAGACACTTATTCAAGTCAACTGTAAAGAATTTAGATACTGACAGGGAAGAGTCAGGAGGAAAGAGGGACAATAATACTTAATATGTGTCTGTGTTATCAGAAACTATGAGCTTTACTTTTAAGCAACTATGGTTTTGAGCAAACCAACACCTTGGAATGATTCATGTTCCTAATCTGCAAAAGGTAGTAAAATGCTTGTTCCGCCAATCCAGGCCAGAAGAGACTTCTAGAATTTTTCTGCAGTATCTTCTAGGCCATGTAGAGAATTTTTCAACGATATAAAAGAGTGAATAAAACTATTTTTATCTCTTCATTATTAGCCCATCTGTAATTTTATTGCAATCATGGGGTCACAGAGACCCTGAATCTGGAAGTTAAGTCAACTCTGGCTCCCACTGCAATATGCAAAGGCCCAGGTAACACCAAGATCTGGAGTTACAAATCCTGTATATATGGACATGGAATGGTTCTTTTTATATATCTCAACATTTTAGTCACAACTACTGAGTACTCAGAACTGCTTAGATATTTTATAGATAAAATACTTGTTAGCAATGATAATAACACTTGACTTTATTATAGACTAAGTATTAGTGTACTGTTTATTAAATGGATTACGCCATCTAAACTCTAAGAAGACTGCCCTCCATGGGGGCGCAATGGGTTAAAGCACAATACTACAGCTACAGCCGCAGCCACTTCAGCACAAGTTAAATTCCAGGCAGGAAGGTGACCCACACGGCGTGGCAGACTTGTCTCCCCGCTGCTCCCCTAGGCAGTGTCCTTCGTCAATCTGCCTGTTCTGCTCTCCACTGTCTCTGGTGAATGCTCTCACCACTCCTTGCACCTCTAGCTTGTGCCCCAGTTCTGTATAAATAAATAAATCTTTCTAAACTATAAGAAGAAAGGTAACATTAGTTCCAATTATGACTCCATACAGAAGGTTAAACAACTGGTCCAAAGTTACATTACTAGTAAGTAGTAAAGATCTGAATCCAGGTTTGATTTCTGGTTTCAAGAGTCAGTGCTCTTAACCACGACCTTGTTTTTAGATATGCTGAATTGAGAAATAAGAACTTAAAAAAAAAATGTAACCACTTCTACTTTATTTTCCATCTTTGATTTCCCAAACCACTGCAGCTCCTCAACGTTTAGAAGACTTTCAACTCAGTAACTTTTCTTTTCCCATCCTGGTCACTCTGCTCTGGCCTCTTGAGCTATATTTCAGAACACAAATTGAGTTAGGACAACAAAAACACCTCTTGTGGTGCAGCAAAAAAGAGGGGAAAAAAAATGAACACTCAGATTTCTTTTTTTGAGGACGGAGGAGTGGACTATTTTGTGTTCTTCTGAAACATGATTTTAGAACCTTCGTTGCCCTGGGTCATTTACTAACTATCCCTCTGTATCAGTGCTGACAAGAGCCATCCAATGATTACCAAAGACAAGGTCTCACAAGGATTAACCCTCACTTCACCCTTTGCAGGTGAGGCAGAGAAGTCTTAGAACTAAATTATTTACTCACCCATATTATCACCTTTGCTGTTCTTTTTCTTCTCCCACTCAGAATTGTGGGTCAGTTTCTCATGATCTTGTATTGGTGGTAAACATGTTGAGTCCTCAAACCCCCAGGCAGAGCAACAAGCATCAACTTTGGGAATTTAGCAGCCAGCTAAATCCACAGTTTTACACTAGTTCATTTTCAGGCACCACCCAAATTTTAGCACACAACTCTAAGCCTTTCTTCTCTTCCTTACAAATAACATAAGGGTATTATACTATATGTCACCCATATACTACTCCCTCCTCTCCCCAACTTTCATCCTGGGTCTAAGTAGCAACATGACCGAAACCTGGCTCACCTAGAAAACACCACTTTTCAAAAAACTCTCAAATTCTTTGGTGGAAATGACATTGTGCAGACCTCCAAACGCTCCAATTCTAGAGCTGCTATCACTGTTTCACCCACAATGTAAAAACCCTGACTCTTTTTTTTTTTTTAACCCCTGGCCCTTTTAAGGCATATGCCATTTTTTACTATAAACACCTGTTTGTAAATAAACTACACTACATAATTCTTAGGAAAAATAAGTAACATTTAATGCACGGGATTATGGTGATGGCACACGGGTGACTTGGTGATGGGAAACCCGCGGGGATTACAATTGAGATGGAAAAAAAAATGTACAAAATGATGTAATAATAAACTTTTGTAATAAAAAAAAGGAAAAAAAAGAAAAATAAGTAACATTTAGTTACCCTCAAATATTTTTTGAAGAACAAATGCTAAAAAAACAACAAATATTTATTTTGCAAATAAATAATACCCACATTCAGACTAGGAGAGGGAACAAGGTGTAGTTACTGGGAGGTCATGTGAGATTCCCACAGCAAATCTAAACAATTCTTCCTACCCAACTTTTTCATGTACTAGAGGATCAAGAATGAAGGGCTGTCCTGACCTGACTGAGTTATTGCAGGCTTAGGAGAGAAGGTTTTCCTAATTACTGCAAGTCTGATTTCACCTCTGGTCATAGCTCTTAAGTTTAATTTCACTTGTAATATGACCTGTAGCTACTGCATTGTATTTCTATTGCTTACTGACTTTTCTCAACATTGTACATGTGCACCCAAAACCTTACTCCTTAACATTATAAAAGTGTTTGAAGACTATGTTATATGTTATGTATCACATATTTATCATATTTTGTGCTCCTCTGAATACCAAGCAAGGAGCTAGGATGAAAATATCAGTATTTCCGTATCACGGCTCTGTGTGTCTTTGCTATAACATTAAGATATATCCCTTACAAAGAATTATTTTCAATGCTATACAGGTTTTCAATGATTAGAGCACCCATTTCATTTCTTTAATTTTTTTCTGTACAATACTGCTTAGTTATCTCAGGAAATAAAACATTAAAATTTTGGACCTCCCTGGCAGCCTAGGAGTTAAATCTCAGTGCTATCATTTCTATGCCTAAGTCTGATCCCCAGACAGGGCGATGACCCACACAGTGTGGCAGACACCAGTCCGTTCCCCTCAGTAGTGTATTACATAGATCTGGGTGCTCTGCCTCCAGCAGATCCTCTTACCACCCTCGCATACGTCTGGCTTATAGCCCAGTTCTATGCATATATAAATAAAAAAATATATAGTAAAATTTTTTAAAAATCTTAGAAGCAGTTTATTTTTTGACCATCATGAGATTTTTAATTTTATTTATTTATTTTGAATTTTCTGTTATATGTATTTTTTACAGAATTTTAAATTTTTGTACAATATATGCTTTCTCATCTTGGTTATAGTCCCATGAAATTCCCACCACCAATTTACCAGTACCATCACCATAGTTTCTTGCTCTCCCCCCATCCCTATTTGACCCTGCTCACCTCTCCCCCCCTACAGAATGTCTTTGGTTTATAGTTGCCTTTTGATTTTGAGGTTTACTTTTATAATTTTTTTTTTCTTTTTCCTGATCCCTTATTTGCATCATCTACATTCTTCTTAGGAGTACAACCACCCAGTAAAGAAAAAGAAAAAAAAGAAACAGAAGCAGTTTATTTTTTAATAAAAATAAGGCTATTGCCCACTGAGTGGTTTATTTTTAAATGTTTTCTTAAAGTAAATTTTTGTTGCAATACTCCTTTAGATTATACAAAGTCACTCTCTAAAAACCTTTGTTCATACTACTCTTATGACGCCAAGCCATCTGGTTAATAAAAAACACGATTATTTATTACTGTGTTTTGATTAACTTCTAAAATGTCATCTTAGCTTTAATTTACCTTGATAAAATTTTTGAGGAAAAAATGAGGAATTTCCAAGATCAGGATGTAGTTGTATGTCACCTTTCTCCAGAGAAAAGAATATAGTTTTTTTTAAACACATGCTCTATTTGCTGCTCATTCTAACATCTCACAATCCTATCAAGACAAAGAACAAAGCTTGATGGCTAATGCTATTCTTATGATGAAAATCTCCTTGCCACTGACATGCCAAGTACTTAGTCAATCCTTTCAACATTTAAATTAAGCATTAACTCCGCATCAATATCTGTGAGGCATAAGTGAGTGCTCCCATTTAAATGATAGAAAAATGAGGCTGAACTTGTCTGATGTTGGCCAGCTAGAATTAAAGTTTCAATCCTTTCTACTGAAATCAAAGCTCATTATTTATTCCAGAACATGTCTTCCTCTATGCCAGGCTTTCATACGCAAGCTTGTGCATTACTTTAACATGAACTTAATTTTCTATTCATGTTTTGCAACTTCTTGCAGTTCAAGCATCACTATGATGGCTTGTCACCAGTAACTATAAGAGGAACAGATTAACTCCTCCTAATAAAGGCTTCACTTAATTAACTTGGTTGTCCACCAAGTCTAACATTACCTTTTAAATAAAAACCACACCACTCATCAATATTATTGTGAGGTTCAATATGAAATTCCATCTAACTGAAGCTACTTAATACCAAGGGTTTTGATGTGAACACACAAAAATCTAAAAAGAAAAAAATCCTAATTCATTTGAGTAACCATAATAAATAATGTTTTTACTGAAATAAAAGTTTGCTTTAAATACTTTAAATAATGTTTAAGAAATAAAAACCAGCCCATGTAGCATAAATGAAAATAACTTTGAGGAACTTGAGTTTTCTTCAGTAATATGTTCTTTTTAACTTTGGCACAATATTCTACTGGGTGGATGAGTATGATTTAAATATTTATCTTTTGGAGGAACACGTAGGACATTTTGCATTTTTGCTATTACAAACAAAATAGCCATGAAAGCTCCTTCATAGTCAACACCTGTCTGAGTATATTCATGGGATAAATACCTGTCAGACGGAACTGCTGCATTCTCTATAGTGTTTGTCTACCAACTGGTAACTCCATAGGAGCCAGAACAGGAAGAAAAGGTGTGTAGGCTGCATATAGTCATTGCTCTTCCAGTTAAGAGATGGCAGTAGACAAGTCAAATATTTCCCAGAACAAATTTTGATTTCATAAGGACCTACCTACTAGGGACATATCAGAGGATAGTCCATGTAACCACCTGCCTAATTTACTCTTTCTAACCCATGCACTCCAGATGTGAAATAGAGCGGCAAGTGGTTGGTTCCACCCAAACCCTTTGCACAGGGTCCCAGTGAAAGACAGGGATTCCTATCCCCCCCCCCCCCCACCAGACTGTCATTTAATTCTGCAAAAAGAGGTAGCCTCTTTCCAAGAGTCAGAGGCAGGCTCCTATTCCACCTCCCAGAGTCACCCTGGGTGGAGTCTTTGGGTTCTCTTGAACATGCACTACTGTATGAGCTAAGAAAATGATCCTGGCTGGAAGAGTCACAGAGGTCAAATGGTTTTTATTAATTTCCCATCCTGTCAAGAAACCAAATGTCCAATAGTTGCTGTCCACATCCTTTCTATAGTTCACAATTTTCTCTAGAAATATTTCTGCAAATATTTCTTATAAATAAGAAATTGATAAATATTTCTTATAAATAAGAATTTGATAAATAGAATGTTTTTAGTTTAACCAAACATCAAAAATGAAAAATACAGAATTGATTCTATATCTCTTTTATACAAATTTGAAGCTCTTCCAAGGAAGGAAGTTTCTCATTCACATACATAATTTGGAATAATATTCTGATATACAGTTTTTGCTGCATTTATTCCTATATGGAAATGACATAAGTATAAGTAAAAATGCACATATTAAATCATTCAAAACAGTTCTCTGTTACCATGTGGAAATGTGAAACAGAGGCAGCAGGACAATTACCAAAGACTAAGTAAGAGATGAGTCAAAATTGCCAGCATCTCTTATTTAAGAAAAGACCCGTCTATGTTGGATGCACTCACTTAAAAGATATGTGACCACTTACTTGCTTCTCTTTCTTCTGTATTTTCATTATCATATATTGAAGGAAGATAATTATTTCTGTAAAACACACAAAAAAGGGCAAATATTATGGTAAAATCCAAAATAAAAGATTTTAAATTATCCCAGGATTAACTGACACATGAGAAAACCATGGACCAGTCGATTACCTATACAGAACATTTACAACCAGCAGTCTTCAGGCCCAGTGAGCCCCACAACCCTAAGTGGAATCATAAACCTATCCAACCTTATCCCATCATAAACCTATCCAACCTTATCCCAAGCCCAAATTTATTGCTCCATATGGGGGGGGGGGTGGAGTCAAGATACTGTCTCTGTAGGTAAAATAAGTTATAAAAGATGCTAGAGTATTAAACTACAAAAGAAAGGAAAAGAAGAACCAAAACTAGTGACAAGACCATACTTAGCGGAAGAGAAGGGGTGGGAATATGCTAAGTCCTCATTCAGGGGTAAGAAAACCAATAAATAATATCTACAAGTGGTAAATCAAGAAACAGAAATAGATACAATAAAAAAAGAGATCTGAAAGAGTTAAAAGTAGTTCTGTTAAAGAAGACAGGAATTGGTATGAGATACAAACAGGTCTTAATTTCATCCTATGCTCTCCTAAGTTTATTTGGTGCTTTAAATCACGGTCATATAATTACTTGACAAAATAAATTCCAATAATTTTATGTGACTTTAAAAAATGTCTGGTTTTATTGGACCTAAGACTTAAGCCCTCATTTCCATCCTAACACCATATGCCCTGGATGACAATGAACTTTCTCTCGCAAACAAGTTTTGAACATCATAGCACTAAAAAAGCCCGGCAATTGGCTTTAAAGGCCTACAAGTACATTAGCGCATCTTGGAGTACAGGAAGAACACTAACCTAGGAAACCCAAAAATTGGAGCTACCAGAATCACTAACTAGCTACACTGCCTCAGGTATGAAGCTCTGGTCTTCCTCACTTACAAACAATAGAGGGATCACAGAATTGCAAAGTCTGGTTCTACAGACACTGTCTCTTAGTTACTTTGTACCTTGACTTCCTAGACACCCTTACAGAGTTCCAGAGCATCACTTTGGAAACCCATATTCCCTCAGGAAACCACCCCAGAGGCACATGGTAACCTTTTGTTCATAATTATTTCTCATATCCAGATGAATGCACTATGTAAGCCATAAAGTTATGTAGTTTCTAAGTCAGTTCATGGTGTGTATGATGCAAACTGAGAAAGATGAAGGATTTGTGATTCCAATCATCCTTGGGGGCCACAGTTACAAACTGTAATCAGTTTAACATCTTGTCATTGTAGGTTTTTTTCCTTCCCAGAATCAGAGGCATTTCCTATAAAAACGACCATGAAATGTAACGAGGATATTGCTGCAAAGAGCCCTGCAGCCATGGAAGCAACAGCTGCAAAGTGGGCCTAGTGAGCCTAGACGTGAGGGAGGGCGGAGCAGAAGTGCTGAAAGCAGGAAAGGGAGAAGTCAAGTCAGGAAATGATGCTTCCTCGAATCACTGTGAGGATTAACATCTGTTGGGACAATTATTTACCTCCAGAAAACCAGGGAAATGTTAGGTGCTCTGAATTAGAACAGTCAAAATATTTTACCCTAATCTTTATTCTAGTGGAGTCAGTGCTAGGTAAATTGCGTTAGTCAAAGCTTACCTCCTTTACTACTCAAACTCACATGAGACCACAGAAACCTGGCACTGTCAGCCATTCACAAACTGTTGCAAACACTGACTCATCTACTCAAAAAAAAAAAAAAAACCTGTCCAATCATTGAATTAAAACAAAATCTCTACAGATGTCAATACAAATTATGTCTATTATAATATCTAAAGGACAAGGATCATGCAGGAGAGACATAAAAACACAATTTCTAATTAACAGAAATCAGCATGCAAATAAACAGCCCCACACAGCCAGGAAGGTGGGGTAAACAGGTCTAACTGATCACTGCTAATGGCATTTCTAATTGGTTCAAGCTTTTTGAAGAGCACTCGGGCAATATGCCACTAAATCTATAAACTGTTCCAAAACTTTTATCTGCCAATTCTACTTTAAGGAATACAGCAGGAAAGAAACATGAAACTTAGAGAGAGTACAGAGACACGATGTGGGGTGAAATATGAAAATGGCTCATAGTGTTACGGGGAAGGATGTCCTAAAAGAACTCTGCAGAGTCTTATGGACTCCACCCCCTACTCCAGCTTTCTGGACCCTGCCCCCTACTCCAGTGATTGGAAATTACAACTCTCAGCAGTACCAGGGAGAGAGCTGCCAGGACCCAAGGGCAGAGCTAGCAGGAAGGAATTCTGGGACAACTGGGAGATAAATAAGGCGTGATTGCATCGCTAGCTCGGGAAACAGCTCTCCGGACTGTGTGACTTGGTGTGTTCAGTCAGCCTAGCCAAAAGGTATTCCACTTACTTTGTATCCTGCTCTCTTTCCCTGGGTTGTTTCCTATTCCTTTCCCCTTTTGTAAATAAACCCGTTACTGACCCTTGTGAGTGTGCAGGCGAGGCCCCACAGGCAGGCGGCCCAGTCCACTCTGGGCTGCCCTGTAACAATAGCAGAGTCTGGACACGGGAGAAGACTGAAGTGATCAGGGCCCCACCAATCCTTGGGCCTGTGTCACCAAAGGACCTGAGAAGACCAGAGAAGGCAGATGTGCACAAGCTGGAAAGGACAGGAGCACGGTTGGTCCAAACAGGGCTTGAATTTGGTTCCTCAGCAAAGAGAAAAGCTTGGAGGAAAAGTAGGGAGGTAAAAGATTCTAAACTAAGTCACCCCACCCCAGTTTCTTCACAAGCAAGATACTGCCATCAGCAATATTCATAATCCTACCCCTGACCCCAGAGGGAGGGGAGAGGTGGAGAGGGAATTGAGGAGGAGAAAGAGAGCAATCCAAGTGGGAGTGATGTTACTAGAACACTAGTGTGAGGAGCTAATCAAGAAGGCAGAGTCGTCTTAGAGGATGTCACCTTCCTTAAATCCCTATAAAGCCACCTCTTACCAAAACTCGCCACCCTCAACAAACTGGACAAATTTATCTATCTTTTGCTAGGCTTGACCCATTCCCCAGAATGTTAATGGCAAGGATCTGAAATATCAAAAAGCAGAGTGTGAATCCAGCCTCCTAGAAGGATTAGAAAGATAAAATCTCTTCCATACCGGGCCCTTCCTGGTGGCGCAGCAGGTTAAAGCACTGCACTAAGAAGCTTAAGCCACTTCCGCATGAGTTCGATCCCCGCCTGCCTGCCCCGGAGGAGATCCACATGGCGAGGCAGACCTCTCCTGGCCCGCCCACTGCTCCCCTCAGCAGTGTACTTCGTCCATCTGCCTGTTCTGCTCCCCACTCTGTTCCTGGTGAATCCTCTCACCCTCCGCATCTCTGGCCTGTACCCCAGTTCTGTATGAATAAATAAATCTTTAAAAAAAAAAATCTCTTCCATACCTTATTTCCTCACTTCTACCTCAAGGACTCTTTCGAAGAATTCAAAGGGACGACAATCTAGTGTCACCGTGACCAGGAGCCATAAGGTAGCTGGCCTTTGGTGTTGCCTGTTCTTATAAGAGCTTCCTTCCTTCCAAGTGTCAAAGAAAGGTGGCGCTCTCCTCCTGAGGAAAATTAACTCTCCCATCTATACTTGGGAACCATCCTCTCCATTTCTCAGTCTCCTCTGACTCTTGATTACTCGGTAGTTAGTCTTTCCTGATTTCATGCAGGTCTCTTCCCCAAATGCCACCTTATTAGTGATGTCTTCCCTGCCTGTGGGTATCATCAACTGCCAGTACCTAAGAACCCTCCAGGAAAGAACTCTGTTCTGCAGAGAGAGAGCTCAATGTCTGACATTTGGAATCTTCAGTCATTATCTGTGAAGTGACAGGTGAATAGATGGGAAAATATATATATAAAGAGCTCCCACTTTATTCATCCTAACCAACGGCCTCTTTTTTTTCTTTCCTGGTTACTCTAATTCTCCTAGTCTAATCCTATGTATTAGCAGTCTTCATTTATACCTTTTCAGTCATAAGTCTACAATGCAATAAACTAAAGGTTAAAACAAAAGCTAATGGTTCGGACCCTCCCTGGTGGTGCAGCAGGTTAAAGCAAAGCCACTTCCGCATGAGTTCGATCCCCGCCTGCCCCAGAGGAGATCCACATGGCGCGGCAGACCTCTCCTGACCCGCCCACTGCTCCCCTCAGCAGTGTACTTCGTGGATCTGCCTGTTCTGCTCCCCACTCTCTTTCTGGTGAGTCCTCTCACCCTCTGCATCTCCGGCCTGTACCCCAGTTCTGTATGAATAAATAAATAAATCTTTAAAAAAAACCAAAAAGCTAATGGTTCCCTGACTCTACTCCCCACTCATGATTCACTCTTTCTAAAGGCAATCATTTGGTTGTTAGCTGTTCTACTTTCCATATTTCTAAAAAAACATGCTAACTGCTCTTATTCCCCCCCCCCCCCATTTCAGATATTGTTCTATGGGATAGTATCTTCCTTCTATTTTCCTATGGAACAGGAGTTGGCAAGTATTTTTATAAAGATCAGATAACAAGTATTTTAGATTCTATAGACCACATGATCTCTGTTGCAGCTCCTTCATTTTGTGCCAGAAACAGCCAGATAATCTGCACATGAATGGGATCTAGCTGTGTTCCAATAAAACTTTATTTACCGAACAATAATACCTTGTTATGGAGGATGCCCTTTAGCTTCTCAATGTAGTTACTACCACCATTATTTATTTAATCAGTACTTGATTCAGTTAAGCTACAAGCTCTATTGTTATAATTTTCTTTTGTAATCTTTTCTCTTAAAGATAGTATCTCATTTTAAAATTTGTGTTTTCTGTGGCCCACTAAACTTCAATGTTTTCCTAAAGTCCTTTAAACCTCCTCACAATTTAAATATGATCCCCAGACTTGGGTTATTACATAGGGAGTCCTCTACATTCTCTCCAGTCTGTTTCAATGCTTCCTGAAACTTCTTACCACCACGCATACTCCTG